AACAAAAAACAAAAAAAAATGTATATATGGAAAAATTTTAAGTTTGCGACCCGTACTTAACTTAATTTAAAACAAGAAAGGAAAGGCAACTTCGGGCGGAGCCGAAGTTGATATACCCTTGCAGTTAAAACCGGATATATATCGCAATCATCGGATATAGCTGGCCGATCCTTATGATTACATCATAATAAAACCAATTAATTAAAATAAAAAATCTAAAAAAAAGTCTTAAGCTTCTATCTTCAAATATACGAAAGTTGATATATCTACCAAATACCATTTCCGATCGTTCAGTTTTATGGCAGCTATAGGATATAGTCGGGCGATGCTAATGAAATTCTGTAGGTTGGATCAAAAATAGAATATGTACTAAGTTTCAGCTTTCTATCTTCAAAAACACGAAAGTTGGGAAATTTTTGAACGTTCAGTCATATGGCAGCTATAAGATATAGTCGAGCGATCCTTATGAAACTTGGCATGTCGTAATGTTTTGCCAAAAATGTTTTGCTCTCGTGTCAAATTTGAACTCTCTAACTCTTAAAACAATAAAGTTATACCATTTCCGATCAATCAGTTATATGGCAGCTATTGGATATAGTCGGCCGATCCGGGCCGTTCCGACTTATATACTGCGTGCAAAGGAAAAAAGGGTGTGTGCAAAGTTTCAAGACGATAGCTTTAAAACTGAGAGACTAGTTCGCGTAGAAACGGACAGACAGACAGATGGACAGACAGACGGACAGACGGACATGCTCATATCAACTCAGGAGGTGATCCTGATCAAGAATATATATACTTTATAGGGTCGGAGATGTCTCCTTCACTGCGTTGCACACTTTTGGACAAAATTATAATACCCTCTGCAAGGGTATAAAAATGTTCAAATGTTGTCTATGTTGCTGCTGCTTGCGTTCCCCACAGCTGGGAGATTCGCTTTAGGGCTGATTTGTAGAGTAGTAACTTGTAGTCCAGGCCCAGACCTTATCTTCTTTAAGGAACTGGGGGCACACCGATCCCACAATCGAGGAGATAAGAAGGCTTTCCACCACCAACAAGATAACTCTCTTATGGACCCCCAGCCACCAAGGAATCGTTGGCAATGAACTAGCAGATCAGGCTGCTCAGGACATGAGACTAAAACCGTCTCCTCTGTTCAATCCTTTCAACAGCAAGGACATAAGTAACCTAATCCGTCATCACCTTAAGGACAAACAAATTGGAGAATGGGAACTTTATAACCACCGATATTTTTCCAACAACAATACTTTTTCAAAAATTTCTCTGCCTGCCTACCTTGGAAAGCGGGTATGCTCAACTTTCATTCGCCTTCGCATCGGACACACTCGTGCAACACACGAACATATTCTTACAGGAACACCACGTCCCTCTTGCCTTTGTGGCGAACGCCTTGAAATAGACCATCTTCTTAACTCATGCCGTCTTCTAGAGAGCGTCAGGGCTCACATTTTCAAACAACATAAACCATCCGACAGTTTAAATGTAGTTTCTCAAGAAAACATAACAAACCTTTATACATTTGTAATCAAATCCAACCTTAATATTTAAGTATTGTAAATAATTAACTAAGTCTCCAGTCGAAGGCTATAGCAGCTAGTACTCTTTTAAGAAACCCATTAGATTAAGTATTATATACAAGATTTAATTTTGTTAAATAATAAATATAATACCCTCTGCAAGGGTATAAAAAACTAATGGAGATATTTAATTGAGAATAGACTCGATAGAAAGCTACATGCCTCTATTTTAAAAGTAAAGTTTTGCATTAAAATATTCCATTCCAATTTGCAGATTTTTCGATTTTACTAGAGCAAGCCAAAACCGACTTCCATTTCGCGTACGTTCGCGACTTCATATTTTTTGCCAATATTATGAAAATGAAAAATCCATTACAACCATTATTTACACTAAGAAAAGAACTCACCAAATGCTATCAGAAACAAAAAAAAATTATCAGAAAATGTTTTTATCTTTAATTTTTTTGGCACTAATTGCGTACGAACGTACGTTCGCGACCCCAGGAATAGCCCATATATAATCTCATTTCCTAAAAAAAACATTTATATTTATTAAGATTGATATTCTTAATAAAAACAAGAAAGGACAGTCTATAGTCTATTTCCCGACCATATTGTATCCGGTACTCGTTTCGCCCATCCACCCTTAAGCAACCTTTAAAGCAGCCATGCCCAACACATTGCTCTTGCCACGTATTTTGTCAAAATCTGTGTGTTTAGGTGAGGGGCCGTGGGGCCGCTCAGCTGGGGATAAGAGCGCACCCGCGCTAAAGAGCGCACCCGCACTGAAGAGCGCACCCGCGCTGATGAGCGCATCCGCTTTCGCCCCTCTGTGCATCTGTCTCGCTCGTTGGTTGTCGTCGATCGTCTCTTTTTGTACTAGCTTAAGTTATCAATCCTCTGTAAGCAGCCCAATAAAGCTGACTGCGTTATTTTCTGAATTCACCGAAAGACGCCCGCGACTTCTTAATTCAATATTCCTGAATCCTTTGCGGTAGCAACGCCCCCCAACACACTGTGGTTATTATTCGTTTAAATTAAAATAAAAGGTATTGTGTTAAGAGGAGCCCTAAATAAATAGGTCTTACTCCAATGAGCTCCTTATGGAAACTGATTTTATTTGGTAAAGTTTTCTTATAAGTACGATACATGAGAATCTTAAAGCTATGTAAAACTACTTGTCAACGCACTGCACGCTGACCTGCTATGCGACCCTTTCTCAAGTGCGATAAGCGCACCACTTATGTATGTGTTTGTGTTAGGCTGCAGGGGATCGGTTTTAAACCATCTGTTTGACTCGTATTTCATGGGTCCGAAGCCTTGAAACTCTAACTTAAGAATTTCTATAAAAAGTAGTGTTCAATGCTTGAACATATTGTTTTGAATATTTTTATTACAAGGAGTGTTATTATAGCAATTTTTTGTACAATTTATCAGATAATTTTGTTAAAAGCTTCAAAATGGGTCGTTTAGTACATTGCTCCGCAGTAGAGAGGAATCTAATCCTCACATTAAAAGCAGAAGACCAATCCATGGGAAAAATTGTCAAATTATTGGAATGCTCAAAAAAAAAGTTTTCTACTATCCACTATACAGATAAACAGGAAAAACGTGGCAGAAAGGGAGAAACTTCCACACAATTTGACACGACCCTTATAAGGAAGTCGAAAAAGGAGCCTTTCCTTTCTTCGAAGGATGTTAAAAACTATATGAACGCATCCTTAATGAGTAACACCATTTGCCACAGACGTGGTTTGAAAGCGCATTCAGCAAGGAGAGTTCCTTTTATGAGCAAGAGGCATATCTTGCATAGTTTTTATCTCTGGAAAAACTGGAAAAACGTCCTTTGATCCAATGAGACAAAGATTGATTTGTTGGATCTAAAGGTAGATCCTATGTTAGACGCCCAAACAACACAGCATCGATCCCAAATACACCAAAAAGACAATCAAACAAGGAGGCGGCAATATAATGCTATGGAAATGTTTCTCTGCTTTAGGTGTTGGTCCACTTTATCGGGTATAAGGCAATATGTGTTCCACAGACTATGTAAAAATATCACAGCTCCACAAAAAAAAAAATTCAGAGATCAGACCATACCTCCTATATGGATTTGGGGTCGCTGAATCCGAATCCGTGGTCAGTTGGTCGCCATCACGTCAGGTTTTCGAGAAAATAACGGTTGAATAGTCGAAAAACGCCGTTTTTGGCCATTTTCGAAAAATCGTACCGCAAAATTCTGATGTGTTACAAACCTAATTCAAAATGAAAGGCTGATTTGTGATCTTTAAAACGAGCTCCATGCCAAATTTTTCGCATGCACCGTTAGGACAGGGGGTGCGTTTATATGTAGGCATCTTAGCAAAAAATGTATGCCGAACACAAAAATTTCAAAATTCAGCATATTCAAATAAAACATGGTACCCGGGGGTTTTTGGGGTCGCTGAATCCGAATCTGAGGTCAGTTTGACGCCATCACGTCAAGTTTCTTCATAACCTCAAAAAAAGTGAAGAGTGTGTTTCGTGTGTTTGCAAACTAGGGCACCTCCACGTGGTTGACGGCGGGCAACGGAGTCATCTGCAGATCCGGCAAAGACCCTAGACAACGATATTAAAGCCGTCATGGCAATCACACGGAAAAAGTTACGATGCAGGTATACCCAGTATCGGCGGCTGGTCAGGGTGAGCAAGCGGGCCCGCAGGCGTCGTCATCATGTGACCGCAGCTTCGTAGATGTGGAGTCCTTGGCTTCTACGGAGTATAACACTACAAGACACGTTCACGATGATGTAAGCAAACCGGACAGTTTCTGCTATGTTTGCGGGTTGTTTTCTGCTTCTAAGTTTCGAAAAAAAATTAACGATACTGTCCACGACGCATACGAATATTGTTATTCATCTAAAATTTCAAATCAAAATGAGAACTGGGTCCCTCATATTGTCTGTTTCAACTGCTTCAACATTATGAGAATATGTCACAATTCTAAGGACCTTACAAAGTTGAATATCACATCACCAGTTATATGGAGCAGGCCAGACAGAAGAGAAGATTGTTTCTTCTGTATGACAATTACAGCGGGATTTAATTCCAAAAACAGACATCAAATTAAGTATATATACACAGATAAAGTGAAACCAGCTAACGCTTCAGGTTTGGAAAAACGTGGTCGTCGTAAAAAAGTCTCCGATGATCCAGCACCTGATGCAAGCGAAGAAGAATACGATGGAGACAGTGATGTGGCATCAATTGATGAAGAATTCAAAAAAGGAATGAAATACCGCAAAAATTCAGTCAATCTGAATTGAGCAATTTAGGTAGAGAGCTGGGTTTGTCAAAGGAAGCACATGAGCTTTTGGCGTCAAGGCTAAAATTCAAAAATCTCTTGGATAAAGGAACAAGCGTTACTGTATATAGAAATCGTGAGCGAGAACTGAGGAAATTCTTTATTCAAGATGAAACATTACATTTAGTATATTGTGACAATATCAGCGGACTGATAAATAGTTTAAAAAATAATAATGTATATAAGCCGACAGAGTGGCGTCTTTTTATAGACTCATCAATTCGCAGTCTAAAAGCTATACTACTCCACAACACGAACGTTCTAGCTCCGATACCTATAGCTCATTCTACAGTCATGAAGGAATCGTATGAAAACGTGAGTATAGTTCTTGATAAAATAAAATACTCTGATCATAACTGGCTTCTATGTGGTGATTTGAAAATTATAGGGATCATCCTGGGAATGCAAAGTGGTAACATCAAATATCCCTGCTTTTTATGTCTCTTCGATAGCAGAGATCGATCAAATCATTATAAAAAGAAGAATTGGCCAGAACGTAAGTCCTTGGAACCTGGATCACCTAATGTTTTGAAAGCGCCTCTCGTAGATGTATCAAAAATTTTAGTGCCACCTTTACATCTGAAACTTGGGCTAATGACTCAGTTCGTCAAGGCTTTGGATAAGACTGGCAAATGTTTTGAATACATCGCAAAAAAAATGCCTACGCTCAGTGTGGCAAAATTAGAAGCAGGTATTTTTGACGGCCCAAAAATTCGGATACTATTTAACGATGGTAATTTTACAGATCATATGACGAAAACGGAGAAAGCTGCATGGACAAGTTTTCGCGATGTTTGCCAAAATTTTCTAGGGAATAAGAAGAGCCCAAATTACAAGAAGATGGTAAGTGAGATGATTAACAAATTTGATCTTCTAGGTTGCAATATGACTGTTAAAATGCATTTCTTGGATTCACATATTGATTTCTTTCCAGAAAAACTAGGCGACTTCAGCGAAGAACATGGAGAAAGGTGTCATCAAGACATGCGGGATATGGAAAAGCGATATCAAGGAAAATGGGGTGTCAATATGATGGCAGACTATTGCTGGAGTCTGAAACGGGATGATGTGAAAGACAAGAAAGGTTGTAAGCGACGTTCCCTGCGTCGATCGTTTGAATGCAAACAAGTGAGGTATCACAAGAGAAGCAAGGACCAGTAAATCTTGCTTCCATTTTTAATTAATTTAGATTAAGTTAGGTTGAATAATTTTAGGTTAGGTTAACTTAGAATTAGATAGGTTAATTTAGGTTAACTTGCGTTTGGTTATTTTAGGTAAGGCGTTTTCTGGGTTGACGCTATTTGTTTGAGGTTATGAAGAAACTTGACGTGATGGCGTCAAACTGACCTCAGATTCGGATTCAGCGACCCCAAAAACCCCCGGGTACCATGTTTTATTTGAATATGCTGAATTTTGAAATTTTTGTGTTCGGCAAACATTTTTTGCTAAGATGCCTACATATAAACGCACCCCCTGTCCTAACGGTGCATGCGAAAAACTTGGCATGGAGCTCGTTTTAAAGATCACAAATCAGCCTTTCATTTTGAATTAGGTTTGTAACACATCAAAATTTTGCGGTACGATTTTTCGAAAATGGCCAAAAACGGCGTTTTACGACTATTCAACCGTTATTTTCTCGAAAACCTGACGTGATGGCGACCAACTGACCACGGATTCGGATTCAGCGACCCCAAATCCATATAGGAGGTATGGTCTGATCTCTGAATTTTTTTTTTTTTGTGGAGCTGTGTAATGAAGGACGTTGTGTTACCATATGCTGAAGAAGAAATGCCTTGGAAGTGGGAATATACGCAGGATAACGATCCCAAACACACATCCAAGCTTGCGAAAAAGTGGTTCCAGGACAATAAAGTCGACGTTATGGATTGGTCAGCTCAGTCACCCGACTTAAACCCTTTTGATCATTTGTGGGGCATCCTAAAAAAAACGTTTAAATGGGTTTCAACCAAAAAATAAGGAGCAATTGTGGGAGAAAGTCCAGGAAGAGTGGTACTCCATTTAGCAAGAAATATGCTCCAATCTGGTGTAGTCTATATATGTCTAGTTTGGTCTAGTCTTGTATGTGTGCTGCAGTTTTGAAAAAACTATGGTAACGGCATAAAATATTAAAACTGAATACATTTCTTGGTAAATTTTGCTAAACTAGTAAATTTAGAGAAGGATTAGTTATTTCGTTTCAATTTTTATATTCAGGTCAAAAACATAAAATTTAACTTGGTAATGCTAAGTGGATTTCTGTTTTCTAGTATGTAAGATAGATGTATATTTATTAAAGAAAAATTAAAATCAGGGACCGTAATCATTATAAGTAATATATTTAAAATTACTTTGTAATGATTACTCAACGATTTTTAATTTTTTAAATCAAGACTAATAATTATTTTTGATCGAAAAAAATAAAAATCACAAATAATCATTAAGCTTGAACAAAAAAATAAAACTCAAAAATAATAATTATTCGTGACTTTTATTTTTTTTTATCAAAAATAAAACTCACCAAGCAATAACTTTTGATCCTTTAAGGATATTTCCAATATTGTCCTATGTCCTTATAAAGGGACCCTAGAGCCATAATTGACAACAACAACAACAACAAAAAAAAAAATGCAATTTACATGTGTTTGTTGCAATTATTTAATATAAGGACAACTGTTACATACAGAGCAGCAGCAGCAGATATACACAATTACCAAAACAATGATAATAATGATAATGATAATCATCATAATGATGAACCAGTAAAACCTCTAGGTACATTAATTTTCAATTTATTATGCATTTATGACATTCATATTAAAGAATTTTATGTATTTGTCGGGAAACAGTTAGTTCAGGAAAGTACAGAATGCGAAGGGCATAGCAGCAGAGACGGTGATAGTCTCTGCTAGTCTCTGTTGTGTATATCTGCTGCTTCTGGTAAAATGAATTTTTATTGTTGTTGTTGTTGTCAATTATTGCTCTAGGGTCCCTTTATAAGGACATAGGACAATATTGGAAATATCCTTAAAGGATCAAAAGTTATTTGCTTAGTGAGTTTTATTTTTGATAAAAAAAAAATAAAAATCACGAATAATCATTATTTATGAGTTTTATATTTTTTGTTCGAACTTAATGATTATTTGCGATTTTTATTTTTTTTCGATCAAAAATAATGTTTAACCATAGAAGAATAAATATAACAATTAAAAATTAAAAATCATCAAGGATATTCATAGTGTATCCTTAAAGGATAAAAACGTGCTAGTCAAGCTTTTTCTAAGTTGATTGGAAGTTATTGATTTAATCATTTAAAAATAGCGACAATAATCATTATTTACGGTCCCTGATTAAAATTTTCTCTCACTACCACGCTTCTTATTAAAAATACGTATTTGAACTCAAAGTGAAAATTCGTTTCTATTATTTTTTCCATCACTGTATGAGCAATCACCTGAATTGCAAATGGAGCTTTGTGATTGCAATGTGACATTGAATTAAAAACCTCAACTTTAAAAGGACTTCACAAAGAAATATAACGTACTTATTCCATGTTTGGAACAAATAGGTCACAGCATAGGTCAAAGCTGACAAATAACCATCTGGAGGCGTTACTTAAGTTATCTTTAACAAAAATTGAAATTGATATTGACAAATTATTATGTAGTCAGTAAGAAAAGTATATAATACAAATTTGTTTTTATATTTGAAGTTTTGTTTACTTATTTTAATAAAATGTATTTCTATTACTTTCAATATCTTACTTTGAATTTACTTTTATTTTTCTCAGTGCAGAAATTTGAAGTAAAAAAAAAGCGTTTGCGTAAAGGTGCTTGTGTTTTCATTTATGTGTATTGGTGAGTTTCTCTGCCATAAGCAACGTTTGGGCACCCCTGCTTTAAAGAATAAAGTTAGGGATTCTCAGCAAAAAAATTTTTCTTGCATAATTTTTCGCTTGTAAAAAAAACAACCAAAGCAATTTAGTATAGAAACAAAATAAAAATTCTATAAATCTTCTAAAAATTCTCCTCTTTTTTTATGTTTTTTTAGACATTAAAACACTCTTAATAACATATTGTTGGACGAGATTATTTTATCTCTTACAAAAAGGAATAAAAAAAACTGATGACGCTAAATATAAAAAAAAAATTAAGAAAACGCAAGATAATATGTGGCCTCTTCATCGGTACAAATCGTTCAATATTTTTTCTCTCTAGTCTTAAGCCTTACTTATCTATTGCGGCGAAACGGGGCGAATTCGCACAAGAGCAAATATGAGCTTTATGAGTAAATTTGGAGACTAACAACTACAAAATATAATTCAACTATAAACTATAATTCAAATTTTCGACAACTTCAATAATAATAACAAATCCATTAATATCGATACCGCTCCGCCCTAAGCTATCTTATACAAGATTTAAATAACTAACCATTCAACTAAAAAATACAATTCAATTAAACAACAACATCAAATTAATTACAAATCTAATATAAAACGACGAATCCGTTAACAAAGGAACCTTGAAGGCCTTCATCCGACTTCAACTAGCTAGCAGTTGCATTAGCTTGTAACCTGCTCTCCTATACACCGCTCCAGAGCTACTCCTGGCGACGGCGACCCTTACCCTTCCGTCGGCGCCGACGTGCGTTGTTTCGACCCTTCCGGTGAGCCACTGTTGTGGCGGCTGGGCATTCTTTGCGATCAGGACCAGCTCGCCCGTCCGGATGACGTCCTCTTGCTGCTGCCACTTAGACCGCGCCTGTAGGCCCAAGACGTACTCCTGGGACCATCGCTGCCAAAACAATTACTTTATTGAGGAGACAAGCCGCCATCGCCGCAAGGACGTTAGACCCTGCTGGCCCGGGGTGCTGGTGGGGCGATCAGCGGACTTCCTGTCAACAGGTGCCCGCGAGTAAGCGCCTTGCCGTCGCTTGGATCCTGACTCAGAGCGCCCAGGGGCCCAGCTCAGGACGGCCTCGACTCCAACGAGGACGGTCTACAGCTCCTACGCGGACAGCTTGCCGTTACCTACCGCTCGTAGGAGTAGGTGCTTGGCAGACTTCCCACCTGCCTCCCATAGTCGGCCAATGTGCGGAGCCGGCTGCGGTACGAACGCAAATAGCTCCGTGAAGTGGCGACTCGCTCCGACGAAGTTCGTCCCGTTGTCGCAGTGCACTATCAGCGGATATCCTCGGAGCCCAACGAACCTTTGAAAATCCAACATAAAGGAATCAGTTGAAAGGTCGGAAACTTCTTCTAAATGAACCGCCCTAGACGCAAAACAAACAAATAAGGCAACGTAGGACTTACAGGGCGGCCTACCACGAATTTTTAATGTGTCTATTGGGCCACAAAATCAACACCACATATGGAGATTGAGCGGAGAGCACGAATTCTATCTAAGGGTAAATCTCCCATGATTTGAGTCCTCAGACGAGGCTTACATTTAAAGCAGCGTATGCATGACCATACTGTCTGACTGCAGACGTCCTGCGCATTAACGATCCATATGCGCTGTCGCAAAAGACTCACAAGTGCTCGTGGACCCACATGAAAATTCGACTCGTGCAAGTATCGGAAGTACCTCTGAGAGCGCTCTCTCAATTCGATTGTTGACAACAATACTGGAAACTTGGCATCGTACCAAGTTTAGGAGCATTAGCTAGTTGCCCCCCGACCCGCACCAACGAAAAAGGTAAGCCCAGCCTCCTAGGATTCATGTAAAACGGATTTAGCCTTTGTAGACTGTGGAAAATAAATACATTAAAACGGATATTTTCTATTTCTTCTTGATACTCGTGCTCTTGCACTATTTCGACTATTTTCTTAAAAGCTTCATTATATTCGACAGGTGAGAGAACAAAATCAGAATTCACTACTTAAGCCGGGGGCTCTTCGGCCCCTTATCTTCCGGTTCCTTTAAAAACGATGGACCTTTAAACCTGATTGATTCTACAGTCTCCTTTACGTCTCCACCTCTTAACACTATATCTGCCTGTTTAGTTGGAACATGCCGCCACGTGCTATCATCTGACCACTTTTGAATTTCAGCAACTCTATTCGATACAAACGTTGACAACGA